GACATAGAAGTATCTATAAAAGTAGCTTGATATTGAAATTCCGTATGCTGAGTTTGATAAATCTCTTGTTATAAATGACAAATATAGTAAAAATGTTAATAGTTGTAAAAGATAATTTCAATAGACTTAGTCTAGTCACACTCAATTACACTCAATACAAAAAAAAAAAACATCGAATGAAAAATGACTAAATAACTTTCAATGATATTTTCATAGAAATATATCAGATATTTATTTCTGTATAAAATTCGATTAAATTTTATGCTCGAACATTTAATTCATTAAATACTTTTAATTTATTCTAAAAGAAAAATTTTCTTTTTAGCAAAAAAAAACAAAAAAAGTTCTGAATATTCTCTTACGTCTATTTGCATGACTAATTCTCAAATCGGTAGAAGAATAATTGTAAACGATACATTTTTCATTTTTCCTAAACGATTTGATAATTTCCAATGTAGAAGAGATTCAATAAGAGGTACAACATATGTTTAAGTTTTTCCACAACCTTTTCAACAACAAGAAAACAAATCTATTTAAAATAATTTTCGATTTGTTTTTTTCTTCTAATCACTTTCACCTGTTCCAATCATATGACGAACTGTTCGTAATTCTCGAATAACACGTGATTGAGTTGAAATCGGATTATGAATATTTACTGTTTTTTAAGAATTTCTAAAGTTCTGGTTTACAATAAACTTGTTAAAATGTTTTTATAGTTGATTGAGTTCATCATGGATTTTTAAAATAATGATCAATAGTAAAAGAAGTCACCTTTTGATAATCGATGGAAGATTTTCCTCTATTAATAAAAACAAAATTTAGTCTTATAGTTTTCAATGATATTAATATTAACAGCAAAACTTCTTTGATGAACTTGATTTCGTTACATATTGAAATTTGTCGTAAAAGTTTAAAATTCTGATTAGCGATACATTCAATAGTTTTTCTGCAATGAATACTAACTATAGTTCTGAACATAAATCCAATCTAGGTAGATGTAGTTTATTAGATGTCAATTTTCTCAATATAATAAGACGAATTTCATTTCCAGCCTAATGTTCATTTAGATACATAGGACTTCGCCCATTCTTTCGCAGCACAGAATATGACAGATGTTGTTGATATAGAATCAAAGATAGTGTATAAACAACGTTCTCTTATACTGTATGAAATACTTTGTCATTGCATTTCTTGAGTATTAGTGAAAAAGATGGTGGTGAATGAGAGTTTTCACAATTGAATTCTCTAGACATCGTACTAATATATTATCTTAGAAGAATTCATAGATTATAATTTACCTGAATAATGATTAAATTGAAAACGTTTATAGACAATAACTGGTGATTGTGATCTATCCTAGAAAATTTTTTTCATAGAAATGATATTTTTACAAGTAAATTTACTCGAGATGGATCTTCTTCTTGTTCTTTTTTTATAGATTTTCTTAGCTCGTTGTTGTTCGATATTTTTAATCATTGAATTGTGGCACGGTTATTTTATTATGAGTTTCTATAGGATTCTATTTGATTATTTTAATGAAAAGAATCCATTTATTTTGTGGTGTGGGTGTGGGTGGGATATGCTTTTGGATGTGGTGTGAGTATGTGATGTTGGTGTGGATACGGGAACGATAAATAGGAACATCCAGCCGCACCGATACCACTCACACCTACCCATACTGTTGAAATGAACCAGTAGCATAGCTTTTTGCTTTCTGTTCGATTCGTCTATTGAAAATACATGATTAACTATTATTACGTTTCTGCAACTGTTGGTTTGCGCCGTGAACAGAAAAAATTGTTCCGTATGCTTTGTGTGGAGTCGCAATGGGGAAAATAGAACATTAAGTAGAAGATTGGTATTTTTTTTTCAGGTGTTTGATCAGCGGTGGAGGGTATCGGTGTGATCGTATGGGTGCGAGTGTGGGCTTGGGTATTGATGCTATAAGCTGCATTACTCGTACCTAAACTGCAGTTAACTAATCGTTTGAGGATTTAAAACATTTTTGTAATTGCATACGTGTTTGTATTAAATATTCTTCGTTGAATGGTATTGATTAGAAATAAATATTTTAAGGAAATTCCATATTTATATTTTCATTCATGAAGATACATCTTTCAAAAACAGGGATGCAATATTACATCCGAGAGTAAAGAAGGATATTTTCTGCTTGAACGTCTCAGTTTGTTTGAATGCATTGAAATGCATGAATTATTGTTTCTAACCCATTTAATCGCATAATTTTTACCTCAGCCACATCTCTCAAATTAAAAACACTATCTATAAATGCTGATCGAACTGGTTCATTATAAAGTCGTTTTTGCTATACACTATACGCAATTTGAACAGGATTATTCACTGCTATTTTACTAAAGAGTAACGTATTTTTTAGAAATTGACTACAATATATTCCTTTGTATTAAGATTCTTTTTGAAAAGCAAATCTTTCTTAAATATTAACTAATACTCATATTCCTTCTATATTCCAAAGCGCGTCTCTGTGATAAAAAGCTTGTTACCGTTTCGGCAAACACTTAAAAATATCAGACTGAAAATTACACCGTTTAAATATACTCGTTATTGAGATAAATTTCATAAGTACTTAATAGAGACAATAATCATAAATTTTCATTTTATTTGTCTGCTTTCTTTTTCTTCATAGAGATTTTTTCTTCTGTGCCTTTGGGAATCAACTCCTGTGGAAAAACCTATATATCTGTTTCATTTTCTTTTGTGTTCTTCATATATTGTAGATGCATTGATAATGCTAGACCATAAAAGAGAAAGAAGTTCAATGCAGCTCAAAAAAGGGTGTGCGTGTGTGTTTGTCCATGTAGGTGTGAGGACATTGGGAAATCTAAATCCATTCTCACACTCACATTCCACATCCACAATCGATCCACACCCATACCCCCACCTTCACACCATCAAGTGAGTGAGTTCGAGTGTGCAAGATGTTAAGAGGCCAAGCTTGCTGATATAAAAACATTTTTTATATTCTAAAAAGATCTATTAATTTTTGAGTATAAAAATCAATTAGTTACTGATAACAGCTTTAACGACACATCTTATAAGTTTTAGCTGAAAGCTCGACCTCAATGACATATTGACTTGTTAATTTAGGATTCTCATATTGAAAGAGTTGAGCTGAGTGGTATAATAAACCTTCTTGATCAGAAATACGGGTTCTCGAGCATCCAAACAAAAATTCCTTAGAATCACCTGACAAATGTTTGAATCTAGCATAGATTGTCGACCAGTACCAATGTTCAAATAGTAAAAGTCACAGACAGCTAGTTGTTTACGTTCCTGAGCTACTCAATTTCTTCACGGATGTTCTATTTGAAAAACGACACTACTAACCTGAACATATATGGCAACGTTCTCGCTTTATACGGTTGCTGTCTTGGCAATTGGAGAAGCACGATAGGTAGNTAAAATCTTCAAATTGTTTGAATAAATCATTTTGATTTGATTCTTTCTTACCGATATTCAAGTGTTCGTAATAATTTAAAATTATCAACGAATGGTCGAGCTAAAATAATTGTTGGTAAAATTGGTGGTTTCATCATTCAGTATTGGAGAAGATTTTTTTTTCAATATTTTGAATTAATTCTTCATCTAAAAAAGAACTTAATTAACCTGGAGGTATAGATGAAGGTAACATAGTTTTATAAGCAAGATAAGAAATAAATTGTTGTTGACAAAATCGATACGATTGTGATATTTGTTCTTCATATTCATATTCAATAATTAATGTTAATTGTTTTGGTCGAGTTATAATTTTTGATGATATTTGACGTGTACGAATAATAATCATATTATTATACATTAATCTTTCTTTTTTTGTAATAAATGAATAAATAAAAAATATTTTATTAAAAAAAGAATCAAACAATAACTTACAAATCATTAAATTCATCTCGAGTAATATTAGTTTGTTTATCATAAACATAAGAACGAAGTTCAATAATCGATGAAAGACCACGTTCAATATCATGTAATAGTTCAATTGGTTCATATTGAACAAGAAGAAGAAACTATGATTGAAAACATTCTATTGTGATTTAAATAACAAAATAAAACTGTTAGCACAATCATTGCGGGAATGAGACTAGCTATACTTCTAAACATAAATGCAATTTAGGTACAGAGTTTTTACACTCAATTGTTTGAACTCTCCACTATACATGAGTCAAAGAAGCAAATTTACGTATCTTGGTTGTTGTTTATTAGATGTTGACTTTCTCAATAATATGACGATTTTCATCTTCAGCCTAATGTTTATCTAAATGCATAGGACTTCGTCCACCCTTTTGCGACGCAGAATATGACAGATGCTGTTGATATGGAATCAAAAATAGTATATAAACAACGTTCTTTTATACTGTATGAAACACTTTCTCGTAACAGTTTTTGAGTATCAATGAAAACAATGGTGATGAATGACAGTTTTCACAATTTAATTCTATAAACATTATGTTAATATATTATCTTAGAAGAATCCATAAATTATAATTTATCTGGATAATGATTAAATTCAAAACGTTTACAGGCAATTATTGGTGGTTGTGATCTATCCTACAAAAAAAGTTTTTATAGAAGTGATATTTTTACAAGTAAACTTACTCCAAATGGATCTTCTTCTTGTTCTTTTTTTTATATATTTTAGCTCGTTGTTATTCGATATTTTTAATCATTGAATATGACATGATTATTTGATTATGAGTTTCAATAGGATTCTATTCTATTATTTTCATAAAAAGAATTTATTTATTTATTTTTTGTCTTTATTTCAACTTAAAATACAATATGGTGCTAAATTGATTAAAAATGCTTGATTATGATTTTTTGTTAAAACAGAAAATAATCATCGATAAAAGACAATCATCTTCAATGTAAAGAAATAAAAATTTTTCTTTTCATTTCGTTATTATTTTAACAAAAACAATTCTAAGTCATGTTTACCTAATTTTTCTTCAAGATTTTCAACAATACGTAATTTAACCTTTTTTTTTTACTTGATCAGTATTATAAACATGATAAATTTGAAAATGTTGGTTTATATCTGACAACGAATAACAATATTGTAATTCATTATATGTTATTGGTATTAATTGACGATTATTACTTAAAGTATTTTTTACTTCAATATATGTTATTGTATTCGTTTTAAGATTTTTTAAAATGAAATTATATGGTTTTCTTTGTTTTAATTTTTCATTAAGTCCTATGATTTCTATATCATTCAATTGAATTTTATCATGATATTTAGCATGAAGATATTCATTTATCCATTGTTCATCTGAAATATTTATTAGAAAATTTTGGTTAAATTTAAATGAGAAAAATATATTTACTTCATCGACTAATTTTTTCCAAAGATTCTTGATTAGAACCAATTGTTGAATCTCGATTGCTAAGTACTTGATGAGTTAGATCTTCGATATTTACATGCTTAGTATGTTGTTCAATAGTTTCATAGGATTTATCAATTATTGCTGACAAACTACCATCAGAACGCTTGTTATCAAACCGAGAAAAGAAATCATCTATCAAAAAATTGATATATAATGCTGTTTTAAAAATAAAATAAAAGATGACAAAATATAATGATATTCTAATTGTACGTACTATTATCTATTTAGTTTCTATTAAATTTTTCGAACAAAGAATAGATAGGAAGGAGGAACTGTCCATAGAAGGTGTCTATACAAAGCGGGGAATCAAATACATCTGAACGTTCAGATAGCCTTTGTAAATATTCGATGAATATAAGATGTTTTTGTGATAGGACCGGTGCCAACCGTCGAGAGGGAGATAGAAAAATCTTCATTGCTCCTACTGGGAACTTTATACGATTGATGTTACAAAAATTTGTTTTTATTTTTTTCTTACTGAACGTTCAGAAAAATGAGAAGATCCTGAAATTCTGAACATTCTTTATCGATGACTACAGCAGCTACATGAATTCCATTACAAGTGAAAAGTCATACAGGATAATTTCCCTTATAAACTATTCTATGAACATCTTAGCAGCATATATTTTAAAAATTAACTCCTATAATAAACCTTTTACTATTTTATCTTCTTGAATAGATATCTATCTAAAGCTGTCGAATTCATAAATAATATTAGTCAAAGAATGCATTAGAATAAGTGCTTTAATTAAATGACGATAAAGTTTATTGATGATATTTTTAATTATTAATTATTAATGTTTTATCGGAAGTACTTTGATGTTCAATAGAGGAATTAGTAGTAACTGTAGAAGTTTCAGATAGATGTTGTTTTAATTCTTGTTGTTTCTTTTGTCTATAAGCATGATATTGTTCTTGATTTTGAGCAACATTTTCAAGTAATATTCGAACTTTATTTTCTCAAATAATTTTTATCTCTTAAATACCAGTATTTGGTTCAATATGTTTGATTTGTTTTAATTTCGATGGCATATACCAGGGAATGTTATTTGAATCTTTAGGATCTAAATCAAAATTTCGATATTTAACAAATATTTCAAGAATATTTTCTTCTTTATCATATAATAACTTCCTAAAATTGCTAAGTGAACGTATTAAATCATTATTATGATAAAGTATAAGTCTACGAGCAAATGAATGAAATACATCACGATAATATTTTGATTGTATTGACCATTCATAATGAATATAAAAAAATCATATGATTTTCATCATAATACGATTTTTCTTCTTGAATTATACAAATAGATGAATCAGATTTAAATCGATAAATTAATTGCAGATAGTCAATCATAGTAAATTGAATATTCATAAGTAATGATGACATACATATTTATTGATTTTGTCCATTGATATGCATAAAAAACTCTGTTAGAGATTTGATAAGTAATTGTATATATGGAATAAGTGAAGAAAGTAAATTTTGAATACGAATTTCATTTGTTAGATTTTTAATAATATGTTTAGGTGCAATTGATGATGAAAGATATTTTATATCACACATATTAAAAAATATTAAAACTAGAATAAATAAAATAAGAATAATTTAGATGTACCATCTAATGATATATCAATCAATGGAATCGTTTTAATATGAGTAAATAATTCAGCAATATCATTATTATCAGATATTCATGGATTACCATCCAATGAAATCCAACGATCATCTCTTGTAGGAATAATTGGTTTCTTAGATAGTTTATCTAAATTAAATTTCGTAATAAATCATTTCAAATACATTGATGTAGAACACAATGGAAGAAAACAAAAGAAAAACAATCATTTATTACTGATTTGCAAGATTCATTATTCGTTGATTGCATAATAATCTATTCAAATTCATCAGCTTTCTTTTATATGGATTTTGCTTTGCAATGACTGACTGATTTTCTAAGATGAGCACCCTCTCCATTAGATAGCAGATTGGTTTATATTCTTTCTAGAACTCACAGATGTGTTAATAAATGTATGAGAATCTGAAATTTATGAATACAAACTGTAAAAATCTCTATAATCAATAATTAAGTAACACTTGCATTGCGAGATTGAACGAGTTTCGCCCGATGCTGGTGAAAGTACAAGGGTGCACTAAGAAAAATCTTGTTTACGAGTTTTGGATGATTCAAAGACTCAACAGATCATAAATTTTGTACTCGTTTATTGTTAATCATCCGACAAAATCTGTAGGATTTTTTTATGAAACAAGATAGAGACAAAATTTTGGATGCCTTCTTTACGAATTTGATAAACATTGTTGATGTACAATCCAAGATTGTATCTCAATAACGTTTCGCTATAATATATGAAGTGCTGGTTTATTGTATATCTGAAAGATTAAAAGAATGATGAACAAATCTCTCATATTATATAACTAAATTTATAACTCTCATTTCAGTATTCATTACATATAAGTACAAGACTCAATCGATTTGTGGCTACTAAAAGAATTAGATGATAATTTATAAAATAATGATTTATTGTGTCGATAGAGAATTACATTAATAATCAATGTATAAAATTTAATTCATACAAGTCTAATTTGTTATGGGTGTGGGTGTGTTAAGGAAGCAAATACCCACGCACACCCAATTTTAAAATGAATCTTACATGAATATTTATCATAGAAGATAGGCCACTCACATCGACCAACAACAATTCCACTCTATGTGATTCGAAATGAATCAATTTTCTTTTCTTTTAATCAATAAAAAAAGATGGACATGGAAAAAGAACTGATCGTTGCCACAGAAAAGAATTGAGGGTGTGGGTGTGGGTGTGAGCTTTCACTTCACACTCAGTCACGCCCACATCCACACCCCACCCACACCAATACCACACCTACACCCGCCCACACCCACCCACACCCACACCCACACCCTTTCTATAAGATTACACCAATATCTTTACTTGAAGTGAACATAAAGATCAAGATCGAATAGTAGTTTCCCAATTCTTCATAGAATTTGTTCAATTTTAATTATTTCGATTGCGGATTTGATTCTTCGAATTGATTGATCAATAGACATGAACACATAGAAGTTTTTCGAGATAAATCTTTAGTGAATCATTTCCAGGCGTTGATTTCAACCATTTTAAACAACTTTGTTCTGATCAAACATTTTAATAAGAACAACAAACAATGTTCTTTACATCGAAACAGCGAGAATAATCAATCTTTTGGATATATCAAAATGTTTATTTTAATCAAAATCTTTTTTTAATCACTTCATTTATTCGGTAGTGACAAATCCAAGATCAACAATAAATCGAAACGATCACACTGAATAAAACATTAAAAACTCGTCTGACTCGATAATTGATTTGAAATATCGAATAAATCAGTCAAATATTTCATTTAGATTTTACTCGATTGATTAGTCAAATACATCAATTATCTTGAATTAATCAGTTCGATTGAATTTGTTGTATTTCAAAAGACATTCAGACATTCTAAAGATCTCTTTTCTATTTACTCTGATACTATTTGATATTCATCAAACATTGAAAATTTAGTTTCGAGTTTAAATGTCGACAAACTTTCTTCGTCGAAGCAATTTTATAAAATCAATAAAGAAAACTGGAAAATCTTTCGCATTCGTCTATAAAGACATTTTCGAATAATTGCATCTCGACTCGATTGACTTAAATATAGTTCGTAGATGAACAATTCGATGGATTGCTGCGTTCATAGAAGAACTTTTATTCCGATCAGATCTCAGATCCAAAAGACATTGATGACCCAACGAATATCCAATGTTCATTTATTAGTCAGTCATTTGACTAATTTTATGCAACAACATTAAGTTGATTTGAGAGATTTTTCGTTGTCTGTTTATGGAACTAATCAATATCAATTATTTTTTCAGCAAAGAAAAAGTCAATCTCTTATTATTCTTTAACAATGGATTGAAGATCACAGTCAAGTCATATTAAAAAAGAAACTAAAGCTTCTACAACACTTGACGAAAACGATAAGATGAAAATAATTCCGAATATATTCTCTTCTTAGATTGAAACATAGAGAACAAAATTTTTTTTTCAACAATCAAAGGAAATTTCTTGTCAAAACAAACATATCGATTTGGCTTAGATGAAGATAATGTCAATGAAAACTAGACATAACCAATTCGTTTCTGTGTCTGAGTTTAGTTCGAATGATAAACGATTCTTCTTTTTTCTTCAAAATAAATCTTACAAATGTCGAATTTACTCAATTAATATGATTATCAAAGTTCGATTCAAATTCTCAAATATTATAATATTGATCAATAACGATCAATCTCACTGAAAGCCATTGCATTGTGAAAGATTTCAACAGGAAAAGAAGAAGAATTAGATTTCGTTTCGACATAAAAACAACCAATCAATTGAGGTTTCCAGATACAGTTCTCTATGGAAATCTTCTTCGAGGTTTCCAATAGAACTTCGACAAAATATTGATCTGAATCAAATAATTGAATAAATCTTCGTTGATGAATGTTAAACAAAAACAATAAACAAAGAGAAATGATTGGTTATTTTCACTTGATTTGAATTAGATCGATAAATCAATGTTTATTTCTATATAAATATCTCCAAATTTAAATAAAATACGTCAAGTATTCATTTAAACCATTTCATGATTGTCATCACAAGCTTCTATGAAAGATATTCAATTTCTTCAATCAATAAAAATGTAGATTTTACGGATATAACTTGTAATTACAAACTTTTCGAATTGTTGAATTTCACCGAAATTATAATTTTTAATTGTGGAGATCTGTTCGATTGACTAAACCATATAACATACGCACATGAATATTTCCCTCCAATAAATATACTATATCAGATGGTGTATTCAATGAGTTTTAAAAAATAGCATAAATTCCATTGAAAACAAAATATTGTACCTCAGAAGTTACTCTCTTCAATATAATATGTTCCTTAAGCTCATGTGATAGGTGAATGATTAATTTCTGAATGGTCTGCCTATCTAAATTAGCTAAATTAGTCATAAGATTTTTGAGACAATATAGTAGTGAATTATTCAGAAACTAACGGAAAGATGTCGCTTGCTTTCGATATCTTTTCCGATGGTTCTACTACAATAAGGAAGAAAACAATTTCTATTGATAGACTGTAGGATCAAATGAATGGAAAAATGAATTAATAAACAAGTTATCCTATGTAAACGTTTCTTTTTGAGTTTCATTAACTTCAATCAGAAGTAAAAATGTCGAAAATGACGGATCGTGATTGTAGGAGTCATCCTCAACTTCACTCTTGCATCCTTACTTTCACGCTTATTTTGTTTTCCAGCATATTTATTTTTGGTCAAAGTTGAATTTGTCCTCTTTTCTCACTTGTCTTTGTTTTGTTAATATAAAGATAGATTTTGCCGAGACATATCCTTCAGCTATGTCATCAACTTCAACTTTATTTAATGAATTTCGATGGTTTGTTGAAAATATGTCTACATCAATAACAGAACTCGATCAATTAATAGAAAAAGCAAAATATATTGATGTTGTACAAGTGAAAAACGTCGATAATGATCTTACATATCGGTTATTATTTTGTTACAATTATTGTGGACTTTTTCTTTTTCTTCTTTTCTTTTGTAGACAATTATCATGTGTAATTATACGATCTCTTATCGAATGTCATCCTAAAAAAAGATACACATCACTTGCATTTCGAAATATTCTTGAAATATTAACTATTTCTCCTGATGGTGTTGTCTCATCAAGTCAACGTGCAAAAATGATGTGTTTGCTTGCTATGATTAAATCGGATTTTGACGAAGATGCGTTGCTGTCTGCCATCATTCGTACTAATAGCACTGTACTTATCGATATTGAATCAGCACCAACTACATTGCTTACTTGGAAGAAATTCGTTGAATCTGTAATATGTCATAATGAAGTACGTAATACAGTCCTTTGATCTCGCAGCAATACTCTGTAGGGATATAGAAAATATAGGAATTGGAAAGCATCATTCATATAGAGTGACCTTCAGCCATATAGCAAATATATAGGACGCTGATTTTCACTACAAAAAATCTTTAGAGACTTGGAAAACCTTGCAACAAGATCGTAGATAGCAGATCGATTATCGATTTTGTTTGTACATGCATCGGATGAACAAGAGAATAAATATCTTTGAGTGCTAGAGAATCATGGCATAGCAGATTTTTTTTTCGAGACAGAAAAAAGTTAAATCATGCTCGATTTATTTTCAACTGCTTTACACATATGTGTCTGTATAAATATAAACAAAATCAAACTGAATGACGATCACAAAAGAAAAGATATTTTTTGCTCAGTACACAATAAACTAGGTCTTTTTTCAATACTATTATAATTGTTGCACTTGAGAGTAAAGAATTAAGATATGTACATTTTTAAAAACATTATAAAACATCTGTTTCATTCGAAAGTGACCAATAGACCAGTTGTAATGACTTGTTGCACGCTTCCTGTTAATCAAATTTATCTTTTCGCTTAGAGATAGACAAGTCAGAGATTTTTAAAATCCAAGTCAAGGCAACTGAAGTCGAAAAAATTGTTATATAGAACTGTTTAGGTGTACGTCAAGTTCTAGTTAGTTTAGAAAATGTTTATTTGCATGTTCACAATATATACTTAACAACTATGATAATGAACAAAAAAAACAAAACCTAAATATCTATATATCTAATGAGAAGAGAATGAAAATGTGTAAGTCTATATATGTAGAGCATTAGAAGAAAAAGAAAATGAAAGATAACGCTGTCGAGACAGATAATATACATGATCTTGTGTGTTAACACGGAGCATAACAAGTATCATATCTAACCCGCATTTTTATCTGAAGTACATGAAAGTATTTGTACTTTTTGTTGGTATTCCGGTAGGTAGCTTTATTGAGAGAAGAAGTAGATGTATAAATCATATAAATATATCTATTTTCTTGACTTGATTTGTGAGTTGGTCCTCCATGCCAAGTTACAAGTCAAATCTAACTTGATTGATCCGAGTCAAAAAAATGACTTAACTTGTCAATCTGGGGTTTTCGTTTTTTTTGAATCCTTATGAATTCTTCTGTAACTTGAGACAATACTATTATCGGTAATTAACAAATTGGTTATTTGAAATTCAAACCAAGAGGTATTTCTTTTTTAGATAATATTATGAAATCTAGAACTAGGTAAAAATAGTATGGGCCGATTCCTAATGCAACTTTTAACCTATATTTGTAAGAGGATAAGCCATCGCAGGACGAATCTTTGTAAATACAATAAAAATCAAGAAAAAACAGCATTATCATTGTCATCTTGATGAATTATTGAGAAGTAAATACTATACATTTGCCTGTCTCATGTGTATATTATGTTATGAACATGTTTACACAACACACAAGGCATCTTTTTAAAGAATGTGATACTCTTTTCAACAGAGTCTTCAGTTTTTTGGAGTACATAGGATTATAGGAGAAAAGCTTGAAATATAGTTCATTGTAGGAGAAGTTTTGAAAATATAGGAAATAGAGGACCACCGGGAGGTTATATAGTCATTCTTTTATGGTCTATTTGCCTAAAGAACATTATTTGCGAGAAGAAATTTGTAAAAATTGAGTATTCTGTCATAAGAGGGACAATCTCAACGCTAGCAGAAACAAAATGTAGAAAAGAATAATGTAGACAAAAAGAAATGATACAAATCTCGAAAGATAAAGCGTTGAAAGGTAAGAACGCCTAGGTATAAAAATGCTGAAAGATGAAAATCATGAAAGTAAAAATGTCGATAGACGCTTTAGCATGATTTTTTTTATTGAGAGTGTGAATATGTGGATGTGCATGTAAATGTGTGAGAGTGGATATGGATAGCATTTATTCTTATCCGTACGCACCGCTCCCATAAATATCACATCTCTATTCACACATACATCTAGTCCTCATCCCCTTAGGCCCTCATTACAGACATGTAGCAACGAACACCCTGTTGCAGACCATAGCAACTCCTCATTACAGACAGTTACAAACAAATCAATTAATTAGCTAATTAGTAAAATTGTTAATTAATCAATAGTTATGACTAATATTTTACATGTATCGTATAGATATTGTTATTAAGTAAATAGAAGTTTTGTATTGAAGATCCATTGGAGAATAAAAATAAATTTTTTTCAACATTAGAATGTTAAATGAACCAAATAAATTGATAGAAAAGTAATTATAAATATAAGGCTTCGACAAAATAACATTTCAGAGCGCGCGTGTCAACTATAAAAATTCTTATAATTCTGGTTTCTTCATTTATTTGATAATTTTTTTAAATAAGTTGTTTTAAAACTTCCCGCAATATCTCATAAATTAATAACAGTCAGAGATTGTGAGTTCCACACTTTGGTCCCGCAAGGGACTGCACTGACAAGTTTTTTTTTCTAAAAAGGAAGTGGCGCTCACACCTTGCTTGTCGGAAATTTGTTTTTCGTTTAGCTGTTTTTTTATTGTTGGCACTGCGAATAGATATAATCAGCCAATGAAACCTTGAACATTGTTAGTCTTAGGAAAAAATCACTACTATCGAGGGGCAAAGGTTATTGATATCGACACATGCCAAAAACATGAATATATTTAGAGATTTTTGTTGTCAAAAGTTCAACTCTATGAAAAATAAATATGACCCGCGGAATCTACATGAAAAATAATGTTTCTAATGCATTTTGTTCCCTGTGGATTCCGATTATCATATTGATTTTATCTAAAACCCAACTTTTGATAATAAAAATCTCTAGATACTTACATTCTTTTGATATTTTTCTTTACGAATGGTTTCTTTTCAGCATTGATTTTTGTCTAAGACTAAAAGTGTTCGCGATCTGGTTGGTTGATTGAATGTCTTCACAGTGCCAACGATCAGAAAATAACTAAATAAAAAGAAGTCGTGATGTTATAACTAATGAAAAAGGCTTCACTTCCCTAGATGACAAAAGATCAAATGTAGACATATGTGGAACCAAGTTTTTTTAGTTCCGGTGCTGATCCTGTCATGATGTAGAAAGAACTATTTTATAAAAAATTTTTTTCGCATCAAATATGAAAAGCCTTTAATACTCGTCCTTTCGTTAATTCAGTCGTCGAATATCAAGTTTTTTGGTCATCCCTATTTGAAATTTGTTTCAATTAGTGTGATTTATGGCATATTTTGCTAAATAAAGTTCCCATAAAATTTATAATTTGGTCCCAATCTCATTCTGATCGCGATAAAGATTCATTTGGTCCTGATTCGGTCCCAGTAAAATTTTATTGGTTGGTTCCTGTGGCTGGAATCGGGACTTGTCAGGCACATCTCTAAGTATAGAAGAATTAAATACTCGTTTATATGGATAATTAATGTTTTACAATATGTTGCTCATGCATTTCACGTATTAATATTTTTTGCATTTTGATTGCATATTTTCAATACATGCTGCTGCTGCTTCATTAGTCTACTTCTTGATCCTCATTTACAAAAGTTCGGCGATCTTGACGACATGGATTAGAATACTAGTTCTCGCCCATAAAAACATTATTAACCATGGATTTTCCTGTATATATTCATAAGTTATCCTATTTAGAAAAATCACTTGCATGAATCTTAGAAAAAATGTGTCTCATTTTTGAGCTGTACAAGCAAGAGAGGTCAACCTTTTGTCATTTTGTAGATACATATCTGAGCTAATCTTTGCACATTTGAAACCTAAAAGTTATCATAAGACGTAAGAAACTCGTATCCGTATTTTTCAAAGATTGATAAAACACATTAATTGAAAAGAGGGTATTTTTTATCGTTTATTAGTGAATCTATAGGGCACTCGATTGTGTGTACAACGGTGCAAACTGTAGCTCTCTAGCTCTTTTCGTTGTTGAGTTATTTCAAAAACACCTGAGACCATTCTCTTTTCAAACAGGCAATAATTTGAGATAATTCTTTTCAGGTTGTCATCTTGGTCGATGATCTTACCTCGAGCGCTACTGGAAAATCAATGCATGTATCACCTGAAAAAATCTCGGTCAAACTCGTCCATTCTGCTATCAGAAATCTACGTGGCTTTACAGGTATAAATACAATTTACATCAATATTTCATACATAAATGATCGTCATCAAGCATTCAAAATTGGTTCGTCTTTAAGCGAGGATGACAAAAATGTTATATTTAAAATGGCTCTCTTTTGTGTTGGTCTTCACGAATATTCTCATGCTCGGTTACGACAAGTACGTTATCAGATAGTTTAATTTTCTTTTTCTGATTAGGATTTATCAATGAAACAATCGTTTTCATTGAACTTAGTTAGTGACTAATAATTAGATTAATGGCAAATTTTACTTTGAAGGAATTTTATCCGTATTAGTGAAATCTCAACATTAGTGACTGACTAAAATGGCTTTGACAACAAAAACTTTTATTTTCCTACAGCTATTAGCTATACAGGACAATCAATATCGCTGTCAGTAACCGCATTCTTTAGAAAAAAATAACGCTATCGAATGTTGTAACAAGATCTTAGCCTATGTTCACTGTTTTGTCTCGAGAATACTCTTCTTATCGACATCTTTTTTTTGCAATAAAATATCAACTCTTTCGTTTACATCGTGGATACATGGATTAAGTAAATAAGCTAGTTTACTAATGATATGTGCGAAAAAGAGTTGAAACTAGGAATTGTACTTCAGACTATCAAAATCGATGACTTTTGGAGGGACACGATGGAAGATCTCGATTTTTTTAATATGTCGATGACTTTACTGTAAGACATAACATATATTCAATTATAATCCAACTTATTTCAATAGTGACGTGCTTTACACTAGTACCTATATTAAATAAAGAAAATTTTTGTTTTTTGTCTAGCTGATGTCTTAAATGCATAACTTTTTAATTCTATGAATACCAGGCATGCAAAAAAATAAATTGACAGCTATAAAGCGATGACGTATCCTCAGAAACATATATCTATGTGTTTATCATGAATAAGTATAGTTATATATATATGATATATATAAACTTTGTCATTGTAAATTGTCCTTTCTATCTTTAATTTCACAACCAAACAATCGTAGACAAAATAATATAAAAATAATTTCGAAATCATGTTTATTGATTTCACCAATATAAGAGAAAAGTTTAGTGAAATTCAGTACGAATTGGTCATCTCCATTCGATTCTGGTAATGATTCATAAAGTCATTTTGACAATTCTCTTAGAAAACCGTTATACATAAGAAATAAGTGAACATCGTCCTTCTTAAGTCAAAGTACCAAGTTCCAAGTCTTTTGTACTGAGACGATTATTGGCAGACTATTCATACAAGTATCCTACTACCGAGTATGTCACAGAATGTTGGTCGACTACTCTCCTGAAAATTGTCTTAGTATGTGTCTAGTTGCTGTGATAATTGTGTAATTCCAAAATTTTGCAACAAAAAATATCTTAATGGTTTATTGAATTCAATATTCGGAAGTATCTTACAGCACAACGATCTGTACTGTTACTTAAAAAGATTAATCTTGTTCGGATCAAATGATCGCTCTTATCAAGAAACTAACAAATTTAAATTATCAACTAGTATAACATACTTGTTGGACAGATATATGCAATTTTCAAGCTGTATACTATCTTAGCATAGAAAAATGATAATTTTGTAACTATTTATATCATCTTTTTAACATAATTATCAGACTTTTTTAGAAAGCGAATATTCAGACTCATGATGAAACATGTTACCAAGATTAGAGCCGCTCTAGATTCAACTTCTTCCAAACTTTAATAGTATCGATGGAGAAAATATCGATTATTTTATATAATAATTCGTGATTCATCAATGCTTTTGGTTTTATTTTGTCTGAAAGTATTACAAGTAGTTGCAAATAAAATTGCATAACTTTTTCTACAGATACCATGTTCTTTATATGTTCTCTTTGAATTGTTTTATATAGTGGTTGATAGTCTATGAAGAGTATTAGAAGATATCATCATTTGATATCTTCTTTTGTTCGCCTTTGCAAGAAATAAGAAAAAAACTTTTTTTTCTTGGATATGGCAAACTAATTTATAACATAAATTTCAACATTTTTAGTTTCTCGACGAAAAACAAATCTTGAAATTTACCAACCTGTTTCTCGAATTTCCTTTCTCAGTATTATATATTATGACTTATCGAAGTCTTATATGGAGTTAGCATTTAATATATTAACTGAATAGTTGATTATTTGTGCTACATCGATGTCAGCGAACTATTAAATGACATGACTGACACACTGTCAGTCATTTTCTCATGAAAGGTATTTCTGTCGATAAAAATTTTTCTGATGAGATGTTGCTTGTTTCATCGCTTACATTTAACAGCAAAAAAATAGACGATTTTGAGCACTTCAACATAATGAAAACAATTAAATTGCATTTCAATGTGTAATAGACAAAACAACGATATCTTTTTATGTTTGTTATCGTAATAGACACTCTTCAGTAGAATACCTGTTTTGTAGTGAGTAACGCAGTTAAATCATATGGATTTGCTTTTATAGTGCAAAATTGATATAGAATATATTTTTCAAGAGAAAACAAGGTGATATTATGATATAAATATACATCTATTAATAATTGACCAATAAAGATTATAGGATCAAAGCAAACATCGTTTTAATTCGTTGATTCTCCTAATTGTTTCGTTGAGTATTTTAGCTTATCAGAATCCAAATTTAATGAGATTTTAAGACTATGGAGTAGATAGTTAATTATGAATAGAAGAATGTATATTTATGACATATGCAGAATTATTCAAGTGTATTTCTGTTTAATCGCTAACAGTATGACACTTGGACTTATTTTGAAAAAGGCTCGGTCGGAAATCATCGTTTTTTTTCACTCTCAAAACAGTCTAAAATGAATGTACCTTTACAGTATATTACTACTCCTATTGTGGGTTTCGTCAAATCTTGTCCCTTCTGGAGATAAAAAAACTCTGAAATATCAGAATTAATTATGCTTTCTTAACAAGAAATCACTCTACTAAACTTAGGTAAATCATAATACCTATACCGTAGTTTTCAACAATAATTAATTGCATTCAAGGCAGAGTTATTAATTACTAGCTTTATTTTAACTCATATAGATGATCTTTGCTTACAAAATGTATTTCACTAAATACTATCGAGCATATATTCTACTATTGTTTAGAAAAAATTGTTATTTTCAGTCTATTCAAAAATCTTGATTAAAAAAGTATATTAAAAATCAATAAGCTGTATGATTTAAGACATTTTTTTCTTGATCTATTTTTGGTACATATATTTATTTGCTTCATATCATTATTAAAATAATTCGTGCATAATACATAATGCTTATGATCTGTTATTATATCAAACAGAAAAAAAATATTTCTAATTGTTTGTTTCTTCTAACAGAATTTGCTAGTTTTCTTCTTTGATCCCGTTTTCTATCCATTAGAAAACTAAATTTTACACCACACGAAATGCATATTCGATTTTTCGGATAGAATGGAACAAGAAATGTCACAGTGAACGTTAAACAATGTGAATTATAATAATGAAATAAGCTTAAAGAATTAATTGAAAACCGAAGTCACAGAAAAAAATAATTAATAATCAAAGTGAATAACAATTTTTGTAAATATTATGGATCTACAAGTAAAACACGTCAACATAAACATTAATAGTGTTGAAAGCGATGGTAGTTACCTATAGTATTTTAAATTACTTTTGTTTTTGTTGTTCATATACATCGTTGTGTGTAATGATAAATGATGTGTTCTTTTTTTTCTGACGACTAAATATGCTTAAACAACAGAATGTATGAGTGAACCATAGAATCTGTGAACGGTTTGTTCTTTACTCCTTATGTACATACACAATACCAGGTTGCTTTCCTTGATAGTTAAAGACAAGTAATCAGAAGAGTCTGTATTCTTTTTTAGAATATCATATCTATATATCAATTACTATCATATGAACTATATATATCCTTGACTATATTCAGGGTATAAAACTTGAAATTGACTGTATGTTTGTCCACAGACTAACTGCCGTTATGTGGGTCATCATTTCCTACGCTATTGTACGAACGAAAGAGGGTGTTGCTCATGTCGATAAGAGGTTTTCAAGAGAACTGTACGATTTGCCTCGAAGAATCCAATGTCGTCCCTTAACTATAGAAAAGAAATCATTGCTTGGGTCATGATTTTTCTACTATGATAATGACAAGAGATAAGGTTGTTCGGGGCAAATTATTGAGGACCCTTGAAAACCTCTTATCGACACGAGCAATACTATCTTTCGTCCGTATGATAGTAGAAAAAAATCATCGCTAAAATAACGATTTCTCTTCTCTCTGTCTCTGATCTCTCTTATGTCATAGTCGAAAAATCCTTTGGTCGCATCCATAGGTCCTCAATAATTATATTCTCAGGGTACCGATGCAATGTCATAGTGGAGGGTATGAAGGCAGACAGAAGAATACACTATCTAAGCTCAATTACTATGATTGAGAAGCAGAAACCTAAATGGTAGAAGACTTTTTACACTCAAGAGACCTAGTGGATCCCCCCGATCCATGCTACTTGTATTCATATGGATCGAACTAAAATAAAGCTAGTAATTAACAACTTTGCCTTGAATGCAATTAAATACTGTTAAAAACTACTGTATAAATATTATGATTTATCTAAGTTTAGCAGTGTTATTTCTTTTCAAGAAAGCACAATTACTTCTGATATTTCAAAGTTTTTTATCTCTAGATGGGACTAGATTTGACGAAACTCACATAGGAGTAGTAATATACTGTAAAAGTACATGCATTTTAGACTGTTTCCAGAGTGGAAAAAATCGATGATTTCTGACCAGGCCCTTTCTTTATTTATGCGTTTAATTTTTTTTATTTATACGCGATACTGCTGAAATACAACAGTTGTCTTTTTCCTACCGTCGCTACTACTAAACTTTGGAAGAAGTTGAATCTAGAGTAATCTTAATATTGACACAATATATTTCAACAAGAATCTGAATATTCGCTTTCTAAAAAAAATCTGATAATTATGTTAAAAAGATGATATAAATAGCTACAAAATTATCATTTTTCTATACTAAAATAGTATGTAGCTTAAAAATTGAATATGTCTGTCCAACAAGTACGTTATGGTAGTTGATATTTTAAATTCTTAGTTTTTTTTATAACAGTGATCATTTGATTTGAATAAGATCTGTCTTGTTAACTGAGAGTACAAGCCGATCCATTATGAGTATCGACAAATATCTATGACATATGAGTAACAGATGTTTCAATCAAGGAAGCTGTAGTATAGCATAGCATAATATTCTAAATTGCTCATTCATTTGCATTACTTGTAACTTATGAACTTTGCTTGTTTTCTCTCAGGTCGAAAACAATCCGAATACATCGAGCCCCAATCTATTATCGAACAAATTTACAATAGTCGAAACCTATGGAGGTAAACCAGAATTCGGACGACTTAGTGAACATAAATTATTTGGTGCTCAGTTGGACTTTTGGGAAACCGATGCTACTGGAAAATGGACAGCATTGCATTCAGCTTATTTTTCCATGTTTGTTCAAGCAATCGAAACGAATCAAAGTCTACCTTCGTTCAAAGCCGATGTAACACCGTGCTCTAAACGTACTAGTCGCTGCGCGGTTGGATCAGATATAGACGTTGAAGATATGGATATTTGTTAGTTGAATCTTATGTCGAAATAGTTTTTTTCAATTCCTTTTTTTTGTTTCTTGTTATTACATTAGTTGAGATATTGTATCATATATGAAAGAAAAACTAGTCATTAAAAAGACATCGCTTTTGCTGTTTTTAGCAATTCCATGAATTAGTCACCGCAATATTCGATATGGTATTCGAAATTTTTGATTCTTTGAGGACCGAATTTTTTTTATGACCAACTTCTCTTCATGAATCTTTTGGATTTGCTAAAAAAAAGAAAAATAATGTTTACAGCTGGTTTATCTTCAACTTTTGATGTTATTTCAATATTAGATATATTTTCTTTTTCAGCAAGTCTATTAAAAGACTTTTTTGTTTATTAAAATAATTTTCATCCATCAATATAATCAATCATGTGAATTTTTTTACTTGATATATAATGAATATTAAGACTACTCGTTGAAAGAAAATAATTAATAATTGTAGAATTTTCTTTGATTTTGGATTGAGTTGAAATATTTCAACGATTACATATTAACCTTTTTTTTCAAAAGTATGCTAAATAAAATATATATGATTTATTGTTTAGAAGAGCAATTAAGTGATGAATCTGGTGAAGATTTCTTTGCTGATAATTTTTAACGGTAGAAAATTCTGTTATATTTAAGTATTATTAAAAATATGTAATTTTAGAGATTATGAAGCAATTGATGAATTAAATCGATATGAACTAGCTGAAATTGATGATGATCAAGAGTTACAATTAAATAAATATCGGTGTGCTCAACGTCAACGTGAAAAAGCATCGTCAACTTGGTCAATAATTAAATGATAAAAGTCATCTTGATCAAGATGATCATTCAATTGATTTAGCTACGAAAGACAAAACATTGACGTATCAATGTGATCCGATCGACATGGACAATTAATCAGATGTAGATATTCGAAATTTAGCTGATATACAAGTTCATAAAATATCTTATTGAGTACAAATGCCTTCGCCACATAATGAAATTATTCGATATTTAAAAACATTTTTACAGGCCTTTATAATAAGAACAACAACTATTAGTGAAACAAATAAGCTAATTTATCGTGATCCATTACAACATCTTCTACAAAAAACAAAAACAATCAATTATTATTGATTTTGAACATTTAATGGCAATGAATGAAATATTACCTTTTTTTACTTGTTGTGCCAAAACAAACATTAAAAAAAGTATATTTTGAACTTTATTAAAATGATCAATTAATTGAAAAAGAATTATTTCTATGAGTCAGTGATTATCTTCAAAATGATAATATAAAAGATTTAAGATAACAAAAAGAACAATCTTTTTCTTTATTTTGATGTTTTTACTATGTGAATTAAAGAGTTGCATAAATTGGTATAAGTGATCTTATAACAATACACAGATGCTTTGCCACAATTAAATATTATTAACTAAAATTGTCAAAAATGTGATTTTACACGTGGACCATTTACACAAAATCA